TACGATGAGATGGGGTTTGAGAGATTTTATGACAGAAATTGATGATGATGATAATGATAAAATAATCATCATGGCTCTGAGAACAAAGGCATTAAATACATATTAATAATTAGAAGAGGTGGTTCAAAGAAAATGAGTACCTCAAAATGCATTACAATGGGCAAATTGAATTTGGTCCCAGGGAGAACCAAGCTGTTCTACTGAAAGAATATTAAACCCTAGCATTCCACTATTAAAGGACACAGGGGGACAATTCTATGGAGAGTTGAGTTAAAGGCCACCTAGGAGGATAGTGCCTACCCACATAGGTAAATTATCTCTCCCAGAGCAAGCTGGGAAGGGGCTCATTCACTTTCTGTGGGTGAACACACTTGTCCCACGAGGCCATTTTATTTAAAGCTTCTTCCTTCTGGATCAAGTTCATTGGTTTTTATATCTCAAATCTACGTGTAGTCCTCGCTCACAATGCATGTGTTATTATAAAACACCTTTCAGTATGCCACTGCTAAAACGGAGTGTTCTAAACAAATGTTCTCTGAGGGCAATAACTCCTTAATAGAAACTGCATTTAATAAAACTGGTAGTGATTCCAAAAAGAAACGGGGAAGGCATATTCAGAGAAAATGTCTGGAAGAAATTTGCAATTAATATTTTACAAGACATTTAGATTCTGCCGACTCCTCCTTGCTGTTAAAATTTAAGAGCTTTTTCAAGACTGTATTCCTCTCTGTTATTACATCCTTAATTAAATTAATTTATACAGTGAATGCTCTAACGATACTGCTGTAGATTTTAAATCAAAAAGCCTTATTGCTAGAGACAATATGTGTTAAGACCTTGAAAACAGAATGACATAAGGCACAGTGTTGTCACTGGCACAGGGACACTTGGCCCTCACATCTGATTATTGAAAAGATTGTGGTAGTTGTTCTGTGCCTCAATTAAGGTCTTTATTTTATGTTTTAATTAAGCTAAATTAGGTCAGTGACAACAAAAAGAATCTCATAAGTTGCCTTTATAAGGATTTCTCTCTGGGAAACACAATGGTAGGCAATGACGTTTCTATTGAATAGTTCTGCCATTTAGGTTGGGCCTTCCTGAAATCTTAAATAAAGGAGATCTCTGAGCCCGAGTGGCTATATTGTCAAAACAAAGGCAACCAAAATTTGTCCAAAAACACAAAGGGTTCAGCTATGGAAAAGGTCACTCTAACAATTTTTCACCACGGCCAACAGCTCTTCACAGAGTCCTTCTTGTGCAGACGTGGTCACAGTGTTCTCTTCACACTATGGAAGCATTACTCACTAGGGATCTCAAGGGGGTGTGTGTGTATAATTGGTATAGCTTAGTGCCCAGCACATAGCAGACACTCAATAATCATTAGTGATTTGTTCATCTAATGAAATGTCAGTAATAAATAAGGCACTGCTACCTAAGATTTGATCTGTTGCTTAAATGTCAAGCCACTACTTCTAGAAGAGAACATGATCGAAGTAGGGAAATGACCCCAGACTCTCATTCCTTGTTCTCTGTGTTGAGCTGTCCAATTTGCTCCCTTTATTTATTTATTTCTGGGAAAGATTTGCCCTACACTAACATCTGTTGCCAATCTTCCTTCTTTTTTTTTTTTCCTCTCCCCACAGCCCCAGTGCATGGTTGTATATCCTAGTTCTAAGTTCTTCTAATTCTTCTACGTGAGCTGCCACCACAGCATGGCTACTGACAGATGGGTGGTGTCGTTCTGCAACTGGGAAACGAACCTGGGCTGCTGAAGCAGACTGCGCCAAACTTGAAGTGCTAGGCCATTAGGGCTCTGCTCCCCTTATTTCTAACATAGGGTTTCTAGGATTTATGTCAAGCACTTCAGAGGATGTAAGACCCAGTGTGTTTCTCAGTTACAAGGTAATAGCTGCTTTGAGCAACATGTTCTTAACGACTTCGCACTGCTGAATAAGGCCCTGATGCTTCACCCTGTTCCCCACCACCTTCCATGTAAAGAGTCTATAATCCATATACGACATGAGCGGAATGGTGCCTTAAAATAAATATCTAAGAGCACACAGATTCAACCACAAAACAAAGAATGCCATCAGCTTTTTCTCCCCTCCCATTCTAACCAAGTTCTTCACTTCCCTCAAGAGCAAAAGATGGTACCTAAAAATTCATCAAGTTTGGTTGCATGATAAAAGTTCCATATGATAGAAAACATCAGCTGCAAAAGAAAATTCAATAGGAGGAAAAAAAAAACAAACAAACACCCAGCACTATTTGATCTTGTTTCAAATGGAAAGTTTTGGACACTTTAGAAAAAAAGGCAGCAAGTGCCTTTTTAATGGATTTTATCTGCAGGAAAATGATTATAACCAGAAAAGCTTTAAAGTGTCAGCTGGTGATGCATTTTTTTTATCCCTCTCATTTTTATTCAGAAAGAAATTGAAGGCATATGGCAAAGTGCATCATTAATTTCTTATTAATTTCATAATATGAAGGCAACCAGTTAAAATAGTGGTGGTACAACTTTAAATTACCGAACTCACTTGGTATTTAATGAGAGATTTAGCACAGCAGGGTTTCTGTTAAATTAAGTTGTGCCTTCACATCGCAGTGGGAAAACAGGTGTATATTGGTTTAGAATTATGGAAATGTTGACTAATTCCAAGGCTTGTAATCAAACAGCAAGGCACCCTGTAATATTTTTTCCCCAAGAATATGCATTAATCTTTTATGTCTGGTCCCATTCTTCCTGTCCACCGAAAGCTCACAGCTGAAAGGAAACCACTTGCATCTTTTTCCTGTCGCTGTCAAGGGTGAAGTTCATCAGATAAAGCTATACAAAAACGCAAGACGCGGAACTCTGATCTCATTTACCTGATTTGAAATGGCAAATGTAGTCACAGTGTGTGCGCTGGGATGGCTATGAGCCTCCCAAACAGACCTGACATTCCAAAGTTTTCATTCAACCCGCCTCAAGTAATTGGGCAGATGAAATTGAACTGGATAAAAAGAAAACCGAAAACAGTCCACAAACCATCTTTTTCAATCCCAGAATTATCGTCCTTAATAGTGGGTCTCCCAAATCACCATCCTTGATTTCTGCATGCAGAATTTTTAGGGAGAAGAGAAAGACATGTGCAACATTTTTTCTTTTAATACAGAAGATCCTATTTTTTTGCTCAGAAAACGGTCAGAGAGTAAGATGTCCCAAACAGAAGCGTATTCATCAGTCACTTGTCTGTTTTTCAACATGGCCCGTTGATCATATTAACTCTGGGTTTCTTGAGAGCATCTTCACATATGAAGATGGCATGTCAGGAGCCGCGCTTCAGTGATGAGGGGATGAATTCAAATGAACCAAGCTTTGTGTTAATTCAAAATAGGATGTGATTTGGCATCAATATACCCTAAATGCTAAATAACAAATTCACCATCTCAAGTATTTTTTTTTTCAACAAACATAGAAGGGATGTTGTGTGCTAATTACTGCATTTCTTTTTAAGAGAAGGAATACAAAGGGGTCTTTGAGTTTGATTAGGAGACTGGGAAATAACAATTATTTTTTTCTGTTGTTGGCTGAGCCAGGAGATACTTGCCTCAGTTGTTTCATTCGATAACGTGACCTAATGCTGCAACCTCCTAGAATTTACATCAGAAAAATTCCACTTATATGGAAAATGAAACTGAAATAATATATTTATTTTTTAAAGTCATCCAGCAAAGCAGTTAGACCAACTAAAAGATGCCTTACTAAAACCACCTTAGACGTTTCAGAGAGAAGGAGTTAAATTGGGAGGGAGAATTCTGGTACCTCCCGCTTGCTTTTTCGAACCTTCTTTTTGACTTGCTCACACGAAAAGGGGAAAACCAAAGTGGTGTGATTCAAGACCAAGGACCATAATTTATAACTTTTGGGTGATTAAGAAGCTAATGTTTTGAAAATCTTTTGTTGAGTATCTGGCCACGACAAACATTATAAAATTTTCAGTGGATCTAAGGTGAGTTAAACAAATGCTATCTTTTCTGGGGGGGGGGTTGGGTATAAAATGCATATGTTAGTGTGTACACACACAGAGGTGTTTGCATACATCTGCAGAGACAGCTAAATGACACCAAGCTAGAACTATATCCTGAAAACGTTAGAGACATCATGTTATCTTTCTTTTATTCTTATCAAACCAGGTTTCAATAAAATCATTTTCATTGTACTGCTTACCACAGGTTCTTCATTACAACCAACGCACAACATTATGATATTAAATTAACTCATCACTGATGACCGGGGTCAAGGGAAAATATTCAAACAGCACAGGGAAATTTATACTAGCATGCACTATATAAAATTGCCAAAAAAGCCCAGAAATAAATGTATTCTGATGAAGCAGCGAAACACATCGTTTCATTTCTAGTGAACTGTGCTAATCATCAAATATTACTGGGAAGGAAATGGAAAAAAAATGGTAAGCTTTGTATTTTCTGTTCTCTATCAACATGAAGCCACAAATTGGGCATTAAAACACTGACTTTGTTAACCACCATTGACTGTTTAGAAACCATTAGGAGGTTTAATATTATGGCTGTACAGGGTACATTTTGTCCTTTCAACAGAAAATCTAAAGACTAAATTTGAAAAAGGGTTCCTGGTGAGTAAAAGCTTTTCCTTTTCCATTTGCCTCTCTTGTGTGTGTTGGGTTTTTTTCTTTTAGCCTTTTAAAATCTTAGCCCACCCAATACTCTTTGGCAGCCACGGCGACCCAGTGGGGTCACTCTGATTTTCTAACCAGGGGACACACTCTTTGAGAGCTCTTGCGTCAAGCGTTAATGTCAGTTCTTCCTTCTGGGCTGGCCAGCTGGTTTGGCTGAGGCAGGGGATCAGCGGGGTCAGCACACACTTCTCAAAAGACCAAAGTCATTTTTGGCACTAAGAGCCCATAACTAGAACCTTCCGTTGAAAGGACCATTTTCAAGCAATAAAGTGATTTTGGTACAAAAGTAAACCGACTCACCCCAGGTAAAGTTTTAATATTGTGCAGTGCATTCTGGGCCTCAAGTGCAGCTTTTCTTGTATAAAATGTTACGAAACAACAACCTACAGAGAGAAATGAAAAGGTTTTAGAAATTTCCGTGAATGCTTTGCTTAGATATAATGGAGACTGTGTCGAACAAATAATCTACTTAAAAGGATGCACAATTTAAAAATAATAAAGTGCATGAGCACAGTAATAACAACATCTCAAGCATTTACACAGTGCCTTTCATCCTAAATCATACTTATTAGCTTTCCCCGCGTTGGAGATCAATTCATAACTGTGCACCAGCTACCTGGAATACAGCTCTTCAGGAATGAGGGCGGGAGGTGGTGGGTGAATTGTTAATGGGACTTGTGGTGGAGCAACCACATAAAGAGAAGTGTTTCATCACAGTGACAACAGCGGAAACTTACATTAACTATAATTTTCTTAAAGGTTATCTCTAGAACATCACACTTTTCAAACACTTTCTAAACTCAAAGGTTTAGACAACTGGATTATAAGCTTCTTAAAAGTTAGGATAACACTTGATTCTTTTTTGTCTCCACCGTAGTACATAATGGAAAGTTCCACACATGAGATACCCAATATTTATTTGCCAAAATGAAAGACTCTATTTGAACCAGTTAAGAAGGTAAGTTACGACACAGGTGGGCAAGCGCTCTAACAGATGTTTGCAGACTCTGTGCCATGCATTAAATATGGCCGTGGCTCTTCAACTGGCAATCTCCTGATTCCTCACTTCCAAGAGCTGTTGGGAGTCCAGACTGGATGGCCCCCAAGAGGTCAGAAAATATCCTTTCCCCAACCAACTCCCTCCACCAAAGAAAATGACGTCGAAACCTCAGACCATTCCTTCTGCATTCTGAAGGATGGCTGCCCGCTTCTTCAACCTATAGCTAAAGATACTGGTTTACATTATCTGGTTAGACCAGGTAAAGATATTGCTTAATAATTTGTTAATTCACATTCAGTTTCTTAGCACAACCAGGCTTGAGAAAACAGGGTGGCCAAAAACTTTAGAAACTTAAAGAAAAAAATGCTGCCTCTGATGTGGGCTGTCTTTGGTAAGTTGGGCTGAGAAAAAAAGTGGAGAGAGGCACTCAGCAAGATGGTACATATTTTACCCCAACTTCACTGAAGGATCCTAATGCAAGGAGAGTCTGAGAGATGAGGAAAGCTTTGAGAGGTCCTCATACACCAAGTACAGCAAGAAGCATGAGAGAAATGCACGGCACTCAGGCATCAACATCAGTTCTATCTGGGGAATGATGTAAATAATACCCGGAGCAGGAAAAAAAGGCACCGTTGGAGAGCAGAGAGTTGGCCCCACAAGTCATCGAAGATTTAGAATCATAAACTGGCCTTCTGATTTTTCAAAACAAAAACTCATTCAAAGGAGTAGAAGAAAATAAAGTACAATACCATTCATACAACATTCCTTAGTACATCTAAGATGCTTCCTCCTCATTTGGAAAAGAAACTTGGAAACTTGTCATCATATACTTGATTTCACTGGCATCTCCCAAGATTAAATATGCAAAATCTTCACCTTCTGGACAAAGTAGAGTGTGACCATAGCTTCCTGGCATTTAAAAAACTCCATGCCTTCAAGGATTGGAGACCCTTAAAATATGTCATATACATGAAAGAGGAACTTGAAAATTATGAAGTTTCTTTAAGGAGTCACAGACGGACAGACTGATCATTTTTATATGAGCTTTTCACTTCAGCTTCTGACTTCTTTGACCAGAGTTCATTTGGCTATGCTGTCTGATAGTAGATTTTTAAACTGAATTTAACAAATTAACGCATGATTTTAGCTTCACTGGCATAACGTACGTCCAAGAAAAGCTACAGGAATTGCTTCAAGTCAAGGAATAATTTTAAACAGGAAAGTCAAGTCCCAGCTTCCAGTAACTTATTGTAATAATCCTAGGAGGAAAAATACCAACTATGCTTCACTGGCTTGGTATAGAAAGTGTAGGGACCTGGAAATGGCCACCCCAAGATATGTCTCTTTGGCATCAGGATTATTTGAGGCTGATTGCTTTTGATAAACTGGGACAGGGAAGGAGGCTCTGAGGAATGGAACTTGCCCTTTGTTAGGACACTTTTACATTTGTAAGGTAAATCTCTATCTGTAAAAGTTGCCTCCCTCTCTGTACCAGGAAGAAGAAAGGAGATGACCTACTCTCCAAAAACTCTTAATCAATACCAAAGGCAAGGACTTAAAATCTGCATTTTATTGTGCTAGTCTGGTAACCTCCTGTAACTGACTTCCCTCCCCCTCCAAACGTTGGCGTCTCCTTAAAGATTAAGCATCTTTCTTTAGGCTGGGAACCAATTGTGGCGCTCATCTGTGACCCCCACCCCCAGCCTGAGGCAACACACCTGCCACCCGGCAGCGTTCACTGGGACAGCAGACCTATCTGTCGTTTCCATCAAGCGCTGTGCTGACAGAGCAGCCTCGTGACTATTGTAAAAGGGACTTTTCAATCATATGTGAAACACCCCGTTTGGGGGCTATATAACCACTCTGTGCACCCCACTTCTTCGGTGCCCTTTCTTCCTTCGGGAAGAAAGGCCCCGGGCCATGGTTCCTCATAAAGCTTTGTTTAATTTTCTCTTGCTATTCTGTCTCATGTGAATTTAATTCGTTCTCCGGCCAGACGAACCCCCATTTGGGGAGAGGACATGTCCTCCTCCCCTACAAAAGAAAAACAGGAGAAGCCATAACCTTTGCCTTCCAAGGCTTCTAACAAGCAGATTCTCAGTAGTAAGTTCTCCTTTTCCTTTCCTGGGCTTCTGGGGTTGCCTTCTGGATAAGGAAACAATGGGAAAGCTCTGAATTTCAACCTCAAAGCTTCAAAGAAGGGGCAGAATGAGATACTTTCAAGCAGGTAGATTTTGAGGGTGTGATACTGACACAAAGAAGATTTAGGGATGGAGTAGAAGTTATAAGGCAGTTTCCTTGCCTGGAAAGAAGGCAATTAAGGAAGAATAAGCTCAGGAGATGAAAAACAACTCTGGCCACGCTCAGAGTTAAGAAGGAAAGGCCTGGGTTAGCCTAAAAAGAACAGTGGAATGACAGGGGAACTGAAAATGGAGACAATGATAAGATAAAAGCAACAAGGAACAAAAATGATGTAAATCGAGGGAACCTGGTATGTTGGGCCAACCTGAAGAGCTTTGGCCAACATGTGGGAGCCTCAGGAATCAAGAAAGCTCTCCTGCCTTAAAAACACTCAACCAAAATCCCTACCATCTCCCACAGCCGGATATTCTACCAGGAAGGCGCAGTTCATTTCCCCTTTAAGTATTAAAATACTACCCTTGGGGAAGGTAACATTTAATTGTTCCCAGCTATTTACATCTTAGTATGAATCTGGCGTCTTTAAGTGTTTTCCCCTTGAACAATTTCTTAGTGAATAGCAGGTGGGTTTTTTAAATTATTATTTTTGTTTTTGAGAAAGGGCAAGTTTGAAGCTGATCTCTGAGCAGTACAGGGCAGGGGGTGAGGAGAGAAGAGGAATGAAGAGAGGAGACTAACGCACAGAAGGGGAGATGGGAAGATACCCCGGATGTCAGACTCTCTTCAATTTCACCCAGGGCCCACACTGCCTGTGCAACTGACATGGTGAAATCAGGGATTTATCACTACAGATCCACTTCAAAGTATGCATAGCTCTTAACTCATTTATTCTAGACCCACTTAAACAAAGGTGGTTTTTTTAAAGGTTATGTCAAGATAAGCTCTAGTTCGGGCTGTAATACATGGAATACCCTTGATAACACTGGTGACATGCTTCCCTCACTGCTTACTGACCAAGAGCCCAGCTCTATAGAAGCCATCCTTGGCAAGCAAACTGGGAACCTTTGAGAAACACCCACATCTCCAGGTGGGCACAGCTCCACGGCTTGGTGAGCAGAGCCCAGGCTTCATTTCTGCCCCTACTGGTAGCCTCAGCTGGGCATCCTCAAGCAATGAACAACTTCCACAAACATGGGGATTCTGGGTCAAACAATATTATTGAGAAAATCACCCCAAGACTCTTCTTTTGGTTTCATACATTGGGCTCCTGAGTGATCAAGGGCAAGCATCTTCCTTCTCTGTACCTTAGCTACATTAGTTCCATCATCTCTAAATCCATGAAGAAAAACCAGGTCTGCCAACAACCCCTAAAACTACACGGATATACAGGCAAAGTGCTTCATTCAGAACCAATTTTTTAAAAGTCATAATTATTCTTTACCTTTGGTGGGCTAAAATTGTCTTATGCGTCATTCAGTATGCATACTAATTCACTTAACAAAACAGTGTTTGATTAAGTTATCCTAAAATTTGCAGGATAAATACAGAGCTACAAATTTAAATAGGCACCTTAGATGGAACAATTTGTGTTTTCCCCCAATGGGACTTTAGTCTGTACACTTCCAGAATAAGAATGGTTTGAAAGACTGTTGTTTCTAGGAGTGCTCTCCCAGCTAACCGCAGTCTTTTCTAGCCATCTATCACTTGATATGCTCACTTAAAATCTTAGGTTCATTGACCTGCAAAGATTATTTCAACACAGGAAGGGAGAAATATCATTATCTGCCCTAATATGCAATTATCACGGCAAAAGGTGAGGGAGTTACTCAAGATCCCAGAAAACCCATGAAGCCTCACTAAGGTTGGAATTTTCTTTCTTGCCTACCCTGACTGCAAGCACATCTGTTAAGGGAACCACCTGTCTCTTAGATTTCCCCACGCCAGCTGTAACTCAGGTCTGAAATTTACTGGATTCATTTTCAGGTCAGCTGCAACACCAGATGGCTCAGGCATCTAATTCGGGGGACAGGCCCCCCTCCTTTTGCAGGTTCTGTTTCAAACATCATTGTAAGGTGGGTGGTTAAACATTGACAAGATCCACAGGTGCTCTTCCACAGTCAGTGGTGGCCACATGCACCAGAGGAGACGACCCTTCCAGCTTCAGTATCATTCCTGGGATCACGCTTTCCCTGGTGTCCAGGGAGTGCAGAGAAAGGTCGCACCCCAGGTCAAAGATGGGTAATC